ATCTCTGAAAATCACCATTCTGATTTAAAATAATAATAACTTTAAGAGGGCCAAATGTACAGTTATTTTAATGCCTTGTAGGGTAGTCTGGTAGGGTTTCTCTTCTTGTGAAAACCCTTTGCTTTCCTGAGGAGTGTCCGAGGTACTCCAGCAGTCACACTACGCGGAAGCTTATAAAAAGCTTTGTTGTTGTTGTTGTTGTTGTTGTTTTTAAGGTCCTTCAAACAACCCTGTCCAACCAACCGGACCAAGCACACCCACAGCCTGTGACCCCAGACTGACGTTTGACGCCATCGCCACCCTCCGTGGAGAAATACTGTTCTTTAAAGACAAGTATAAGACTGAACTATTTCTTCCTTTGACTTAACTTACTGGCATAACTTAGAGCTGGATTCTAATGAAGTCCCATGTTATATACCGCTCAGCTTTTCCTTCGAATTCTGTGCATCTCATTGCAATGGATTGTGTTTTCTGGGTAACTTGAAACATCCAGGAAAATTAAAAAAAAAAAAAAAAGCCGCAAACATGCATAAACATTCAGCTGTGGGTGATAGCGTAGCTGACCGGGCTCCAGGGGCTCGGGAACGTCACACGGGGATTTACCAGACACCAAAATCCCATCCACGCCCACCCACATTCAGTCCAGTAAATGGGAACCATCACGTGTTAAGCTGTGGGCAAGTCATCTCACCAGTTGGATTTTTCAATCTTCCATTGGCTGCTTTGTGATTGTGTGATCGGGGCCTGATTTACTTGTATTGCTTTTGCTGGAATACTCTAAGTATTCTCAGCGTTTTGTAGGAACGACAGTGAGCCTTGTCGGGGCGTGCGGAGGGGACAGGGCAAATATAATCATAGAAGGTCATTCCTAGGACCTCCCCTAAAACCTGTGAAGTGCCCAGCAGGGGCATTGGCTATGGTGCTAGCCACTGCCTCCATGACATCATCCGACCCTCCCCGCAGTCTCGTCGGGGCGGGCGCTCGTGCAGGATCCCGGGAGACTGCCCACTCACAGCCTTGTGCTCCGCTAGGTACTTCTGGAGGAGACACCCTCAGCTGAGTATCGTTGAACTCAATTTCATCTCTCTCTTCTGGCCGTCTCTGCCCACTGGTATACAGGCAGCCTATGAGGATGTGGACAAGGACCTCGTTTTCCTATTTAAAGGTAACTGCCTACGTTTTCATCCTGTTTTAGTTGTCCCTGAAGCGAGGAGAAGACTTCCTTGTGGTCCCTTCCAGGGTGAGAGGAGGTGAGCCCATGAGAGCATGTTACCCCAGCCGGACTTGGTCAAGAGACCTGGGTTGGGTCGGGTCCCTGCCACTAAGTGTTGCATGAGCTTGAGCAGCTAACCCTTCCCTCCTCAGCCCTGCTTTCCCACCCGTAGTGTTCTTCCTCCCTCCTCCCAGGTCTAACAGTCTCTGAGTCCCCGCGGCTGTACGAGGGTCTCTGCATCGAAGGCTCATGACCTGAGAAAGTCCCCCAGCTGTGAGGCCCTGCTTGTCGGGCTGAGAAGCCAGAATCATTGGCAGGTGCTGGGGAACCACTGAGACTGTTAGAGTCCAATGAACTTGACCACCTTGGTCTTTTAAAGACTCTTGTTCCATTGTTTCTATGATGAATTTACACAAAGACTAAGCAGTGATACCACATTATGTTATCAGAACAGAAGAACTTTATCTAAAGTATAACCTGGTTCGTTGGCAGGCTGCCGGTACTGGGCTCTGAGGGGCTATGACGTTGAGCAAGGTTATCCCAGGGACATCTCAGACTACGGCTTCCCAAGCAGTGTCCAAGCGATTGATGCAGCTGTTTACTACAGGAGAAAAACCTACTTCTTTGTAAACGACCAAATCTGGAGGTAAGGCAAACTATCGTTTCAGTTAGAGATTGAAATCTGCATATTTATCGTCTACAGACCACTAACAACCAGCCATCTGAAGGTTTTTAAAAACCCAGGTGATCTCTGATAGGCATTCTTTTTCACAAAATGATCGATGTTGCCATGGTTTTTGAAAGTGTCATTTTTATAAAATTAAAAAGTCTTCACAATGGTATTGAGGATTCCACATCAGGAAACAGCAAACCTTAATAAGGCACCAGGAAGGGATGAAAAGAGAGAGGCTAATTCTCAGTTAGGAGTTGAATTCTAACCCACTCAAGAAAATGCTATTCAGATAGCCTACAAAATGTGGTGCCCACATTGGACTTATTACTTCACTATTCCGGGGGGGGGCTAGAATGGGGGAGGGAGGAAGAGAGAGAGACTAACTGTACCCATTAAGGAAATCCTCAGAAAATAAAACCCTTCTTTTGGAAAATAACGCTGTGCTAGCCATCAAAGCCTGTTTCAGTGTTAATGCTACCCAGGTATTTTTTAAATAGGATTGTACACTTAAGGTAGAGAAGTCCACCATTCTTAGGCCCAGGAAATTAAGACATTATGAAGACCAAATGAGAAAATATGTGTGAAGACACTTTGTAAAGTATATGCAATTTAAAGAAAACCGTTGTTGTTTTATACTATACTGGTTTTAAAACATGGGACTTTTTTTTTTTCCATCAGATATGATAACCAAAGACAATCCATGGAACCAGGTTATCCCAAAAGCATAGCAAGTCTCTTTCCAGGAATAGAAAGCAAAGTTGATGCAGTTTTCCAGCAAAATCGTAAGTAGAAAAAAAAACCTAAAAATAAATTTGTTTAAATTTTTAAAATAGCATATTTGCATTTAAATGTTATATTGGAACAGGCATGGGGTGTTTTCAATTGAAAACATCTGAGATCCACAAACTAATTCAATACTTTATCTTTTTTTTTTTTTTTACAGATTTCTTCCTTTTCTTCAGTGGACAAACATATTATAAATTTGATCTTAGTGCTCACAGGGTTACTAGGATTGATAGAAGCAATCGATGGCTCAACTGCAGATAAAGCTGAAGCAAAGTCACACATATTTGCATCCATTTTCCGCATGTGGAAGGAAAGTCTAGTTTGCGTAGCCATTTTCCTGGGTCCTATTTATACTTTTCTCAACAATGAGTAATGCTGTTTGCTCTCACTGTCCTCCTTGGACCTCCCTTCAGTGAAAATACATTTGGAGTATCCTGTTGTCTCCAGGGCTGATTGAGTGCCTATGGATTCCATCTCAAGGGAGGAGATGAAGCCTTCCCTGTCACCTCAGGATTCACTATTTCGTCACTTGCTTACCTGACTTCCAAAATGCTTATATATACCTAAATGTCCTTTATCTGCTACATGCCATTCAGCACTGGGTTTTGGTGAAATGTAGAAATGTTTACCAGGAACAGTGTAAACAGTCCCTCTTGCCTTTACTGAAAGTGTAGTACTATTTTCCACTCTTGGAAAAAAAAATATTGTTGATCCATGTTGTGGCTTGAATTGTGTCCCCCCAAGAAAGATAGGTTGAAGTCCAATCCTAGGTACCTATGAATATACCCTATTTGGAACTAGGGTCTTTGAAGATGTGGTTAGTTAAAATGAGGTTATGCTGGAGCAGGGTGGACCTAGGGACTGGTGTCCTTGTAAGAAGAGAAGCAGCACAGACAACACAGACACGTAGCAGATAAGGATGTGCACACATGAAGACCAACATGGGAACAATGCCTGCAGAAAGCCAACAGTGGCCAGGAACCGCCAGAAGCTAGGAAGGGGCAAGGAAGGACCCTCCCTAGTGCCTTCAGAGAAAGGAATTTTATCCTCCCCACACCTTGGTTGTAGACCTGTAGCTTCCAGAACTGGGATAGAATAAACTGGGTTGGAGTCTGTGGTGCTTCCCTATGGCAGCCCTGGGATATCCACCAGCTGGGTACAGTACCCCTGCATTTAAGAAAATGAGCAACACAAAACAACAAAGTTGAACCCTCAGTAAGAATTGTTGTCACCTTCCCCAAAAAGGAGCAAAAAGGGAAGGTACCACTTTCTCTTCTGTCCCCTCCCAGCTCTATCCTTTTAGAGTCTAAGTAAATGGGCCAATGATTGGAACTGTTCTTCCTTATTTCTTTTTTTCCAGGGATACTCAGGAGGGCACACTACCCATAAGTGGGATTTACTGCACAAACCAAACAGTGCTGTGCACAAAATTCAATGACTCTCATTAAATTAAACTAAGCTGAGATGCATACATTTGATAGTGTTTCTTTTCTGTCACGAACTTTAGGATTCTGGGACCATAATGGCTAATCCAGATATCAAAATCATTATAATGTCATATTTGCAGTTGTTAGAATATAATGCAGCTTATTACACATTAAATAAGTAAATTGTAAAATATATTTATTACTAACATTCTATTTTTCAGTTCGTTTTTTTTTCATTTTTAAAGTTTTTGATTCCAGTTAGTTAACATACAGTGTTATATTTAAGATACTAATCATTTTTTGGATGTATGCACGGGGAGTATATTCTCCCAGATAATTCCTAAGATATTATCTATTTAATTTTTTTCATTTTATTTTATTATGTTATGTTAATCACCATACATTACATCATTAGTTTTTGATGTAGTGTTCCATGATTCATTGTTTGTGCATAACACCCAGTGCTCCACGCAGAACGTGCCCTCTTTAATACCCATCACCAGACTAACCCATCCCCCCACCCCCTCCCCTCTAGAACCCTCAGTTTTTTCTCAGAGTCCATCATCTCTCATGGTTCGTTTCTCCCTCCGATTTTCCTCCCTTCATTCTTCCCTTCCTGCTATCTTCTTCTTCTTCTTCTTTTTTTTTTCTTAACATATATTGCGTTATTTGTTTCAGAGGTACAGATCTGTGATTCAACAGTCTTGCACAATTCACAGTGCTCACCATAGCACATACCCTCCCCAAAGTCTATCACCCAGCCACCCCATCCCTCCCACCCCCCACCACTCTAGCAACCCTCAGTTTGTTTCCTGAGATTAAGAATTCCTCATATCAGGGAGGTCATATGATACGTCTTTCTCTGATTGACTTATTTCGCTCAGCATAACACCCTCCAGTTCCATCCACGTCATTGAAAATGGCGAGATTTCATTCCTTTTGATGGCTTGAGGAAGACACAAATGGAAAAACGTTTCAGTTCGTTTTTACATCTCACAGATAATTTAGTAATTCGGTACCTTATTCTGGTTCAAAAATTAAGTGAGTTTGAAATAGATATATTAAATGACTGACTTGTGATCTATAATTTCTTAAGATGCTACCACATAGTTCATATAAAGTATGAAAACAAATGGCAAATTTCAGTATATTTGCAGCCATTTATTTTCTTGTCAGAATTATAACATTGACATTAACTTTTAGTTTCCACTTACAAATATTTTGTAAATATTCAATTTCCTTTACAAATTCCCTCAAATATGTCAGCACACTTTTTCTCCACTTATTTTACAAGATGAGAAAACAAACTAGGATATGCTATCATTCATTTATTCAACAATAAGTAATCACTTATATGTCCCAGGGACTGTGCTAGGGAAAGGGAGAGAGAGAAATAATTCATTGCGTCAATATAACAAGTGCAAACATGAAAGTCAATTTCAGACTATCATATTTTCTAAGACATCTTATGTCCCTTTTTACAAGCATGAAGACGGGAGATTCAGAACACCTGCTAGTTATGCTAGGTTCTTGCCCCAAACCTCATATATATATACACACATTGTTGAGATGAGAACTGAGTTCATATTATTTCTTTAACCATATTTCGCAGAGTCTTAGCAAGTGAACAGCAATGTGAAGTGAAACAAAGAATTCAAAAATTACTCCTTTTTGTAAAGTTCTCTTCTTGACAATATGTGGTATTTTGAAGTTTTATGTGAATACAAGAGCTCCAAGAATCTAAGCTTAGAATTTAAATAGAGTACTTTTTACCTTGGGTTAAATTTCTTCAAAAGCAAAGGCTAAGTCCAGACCTTGGTGCAGTTGTTTTATTGGGGACATGTTCCCAGGAAGCAAGGGTGGGGAGGCAGGCAGAGTGAGTTAGAGGAGAAAAGCCAAGACAAGGGCGCTATCGAGGTTTCTACGCCGTGCAACTGGGGCTTGGTGCCAGTTGAACCTCCCGAGAAGCCTAGCCAACACCTTTCACTGTTGAAATCTGGAAGGGAAGGGAGGCTGGGCGTTCATCCTTCCGTTCCTTCGTGCATAGGGTGGCTCTAGGCTAACACTTGGGAGAAAAGCAGAAAGCATGCCAGAGGCATCTCCTACATCTTTGCTGATGGACGATTAAAATGATGGGAAATTGGAGAAGTCTCCTCTGGAGAAATTTCACAGCCCAAGAAAGAAGACTTAAAGATACTGACACTGACCTATGTTAACACCTTCTCCCCACTCCCTTGGTGTGATAAGAGCCCAATTTCATTTGAGGTCGTGATACAACCAACTAACAATACATTTTGTGGTCTTGCTTACGACTAGGTGTGGCCAGCATTTAATTTCTTGCCAAAATGCATATGCAGAGTATTGTGTGCACTTCTGGAAAGAGACTGGGAGCTTGCTTTCTCTGCCGTCCTCCTTCCTGCTGCCTATAATGAAGACACAACCATAGCCACCTGGAGACCATGAGGCATTGCACTGAGAGCGGCGCAACCAGGTGGAGGCGGCCTGTATCCTCGGGGATGGGGGTTGCCATATGAGCCCTGGGCTACCCAATCTGTGCTTCTTTTAAGTGAGGGAGAAATAAGTTTTTGTTTTCTGAGTCATCTGTTAGTTTGAGTTCTCTATTCAACCAAATCATATCCCAACTAATGCATCACATGAAACATCTGGGACCCACCTCATCTCCCTGCAGTGAAGGTCATCTCACAGGGCTTCCAGTCAGCTCTCTGGTCTCTCATTCGTAAACAGATTGCACAGCACAGAGTCTCTAAATATGTGAAAAAACCTCCTAATGTGAGAAACAGGCACCAGAAGGAAAGTTTGAAGAAATAGAAACAATTCTTGGAGCAAAAGAAAATGTCAAGATAGACTTAAAAATACTATACATCCTCAAAAGACAAGGTATATTCTACATCCAAACACCACTAACAAAATGCAAGAAAATAAATAAAATATTCAGATAATTAAAGCTCTTGGAAACTAAAAACACAACTGGGCTGGAAAATAATGTTGGTAGAAAGTAGTAAAAGAAATATCAGGAGCATAGAATTTCAACCCACAAGGTCCAACAGATGTGTATTCTAGAAAAGGTAAGGGAAAATAGAGTGGGAAGAAATTATCAAAGAAACTACAGAGGAAATTTTTCTTGAAGTTTTCATAATGAAAGGGTCTGCTTACTGCCCAGTAAAGTTAATGCGAAAAGAAAAAGAAAAAAAGAAAAGAAAACCACATCAAGAGACATCATTATGAAATTTCAGAATATCTCCATAAAGAGAACGTTCCCAACATTTTTCAGAAGAAAATGCATCAAGAATCAGAATGAAAGACTTCCCAGCAGCAAAACTAGATTCTAGAAAACAATGCAAGCGTGCTTCTAATGTCTTAAAGAAAATTTATTTTGGTCTGAAATTCTGTAGGCACGCTCTCAATCAGGTGTCAAATGGAATAAGGGACATTCTTAGGCATGAAAAGATGGAAAACATTCATTTTCCTTGTACCCTTTACACTGTCCACCCCCATCCCCCTCGGCTATCTTCAAGTATATTGGCATCAGTTGGCCAGATCTCCCAAAGCTCATCTCTGCTGTGCTGCCTACTTCCTCGGGCTCTCCACACACCCCCTGTGTCATCTACATCCTACCCATTTCATTCTTCAAGAGCCAGAGGAATCCCCACCTGGCTGAGCCGCTAGACCACACTCATCAGCCGCAATCCTACCTTTGGCTCTTCTCACACTCTGGAATCTTCAGTGCACATTTCGCCACTCGCCTCAGTTTCATCTGGCATTAATTTCTGTACATGTCTGAATTCCCCAACAAGATTGAAATGGTATCTTACTCATGCTTCAGTTAACGGTGACAGGCAAATAGCAGGTCCCCAACAAACATGGGCTGTTTATCCTAGTTAATTACGGTAATCTGACTCCTGATCCAATTGTCTTTTTGTGATACCTTTCTATCCAAGATATTCTGGGGTTTTGTTCAAAAGAAAATTACTTTACAATCTCTCAAGAACTTCAAAGATAAGAAGAGCTCCAACTTTGCAAGGACAATAGTAACTTGGAGGGTGGCTTCCTATTATATTCAATTCAATAATGAACAGTGATTGTGTTTACTCAAAAACTGCAGATCATGATTGCAAAATCAAGTTAACCTAAGGGGAAAAAAAGCATATCATGACACACTTCATGGCAAATGTCCTTTTCTGGTATTAATTAAATGATGATACAAGCCAATTCATGCCACGTCTTACTCTTGTTTTCTAAATTCTGTGGAAACAGAAACAGGCTTCAACAGAAAAGAGAGAGGAATGAAGAGCCTTCTGCTTCAATTTTTGCTCCTTATAACGTTTTCTTCTGCATTTCCTACAGACCGAAAGATGGACACTGAAGAGAACATGCGGCTGGCGCAGGTACTGTCTCAATACATGTTTAATAACGACTATCAAAAAAAAAGAATTTTATTGATTATCTTGGAACCTAAAAAGAAAGCAAATTCCTACAAATTCTGGTACTTTCCCCTAGCTCTAAGGACACCAAGTAACCATGTATGGGGTGGAGGGTGGGGGTAGGGGTGGGAAAGGAGGATTTGCTGCCATTTCAAGCAATGGGTCCAAGTGAAGACAGAGGGAGTAGAAAGGGGACAGCCCTGGGAGAAATGGAGATCTCTATATAAGAATGTCCCTACCAACCAGGGGGACCCAACTACAACTTTCAGGTCCCCTTACCCCTACATGCATGACAAATACTTTGCCTTGGAGATTCCCTCTAAAAATCAGTCCAGTGAATTTGCCATATTTGGTTACCTTAATTAAATTGGCAAAATGAACAACCACGTATCTCTTTTAGGATTTGTTTTAAGGAGACACCAAAATGAAAGTAGACATGTGTAAGCTGTGTGATCCTTTAACACACAGAATCAGCTGATTGTCTTCCCTGGAGGTTTGGAGTTTTATAGGCTCTGGGGTTTGTATAATTCTGGTCACACACAGCTCAGCCACTTGTTGAGAACTGAAGAGGCAGGATGACTCTGCTTCCTTCCTTTCTTTTTTCCTCTCTCGCTCCTTCCTTCCCCTCACTACTTACTTCTTTCTTCCCACCTGAAAAGGATTTCAGATGATTTTGTTTTATCCTGAGATATAGATTTGCTGTCCTGTAGTTTGTGTCCTTTTTTTGTCTCTTTGGTCAGGCATATCTCAACCAGTTCTACTCTCTTGAAATGGAAGGGAGTCATCTTGTTCAAAGCAAGAACAGGAGTCTCTTAGATGGCAAAATTCGGGAAATGCAAGCATTTTTTGGATTGACAGTGACTGGACAACTGGACTCAAACACTCTTGAGATCATGAAGACACCCAGATGCGGGGTGCCTGACGTGGGTCAGTATGGCTACACTCTCCCAGGGTGGAGACGATACAACCTCACATACAGGTAACGCTTGTGCACAGTCTTTTCCCCCTAGTCCCCAAACACGGGAAGGCAACAGTTAATTGTACCGAGCACTTCCTAGGTGCATGGCCCTTCATGGGTCTCACATATTCCATCCTCCCCATGACACTGGGATGTAGGCACCACTGATGGGATCACCTGAAACACAGGGACACTGAAACAAAAGGTTATTTACCATCGTCAAGTCTTACCAGCAGACTGGCTCTGGCAGATATGCTTTAATCTCTAGCCTCGGCCACTTGCATATAAAGTCAGGACCAGAAGCACAGCCATCTGATTGCAGATGGTTGAAGGTACGGCTGGAGTATGCTCAAGAGAAAATGGGAAGAGCCTGGAGCAACCCGTTCATGTTAGAGACACCTGTGGGCGAGAGTTATCAAATCTCAGGTAGACCCTGGGTGAAGTGTGGAGTTTGCCCCCAGGCATCTCAAGGAAAGGGGGCTGAGGTGTGCTTCCAACCTGAGTCGGTGCCCTTGACTGTGGCTCTCAAGCCCTCCTGGCAGGCCCCGAAGTACTTCTCATAACTCTTTCTTCACTTCAGTCTTAGGGGTTAAAAATAGCTTTAGCAAGATAGGGAATATAAACCAGAGGGAAATCTTTTCCTGAGTAACTAACTCTTGAAAGCTCTCAAGGGAGACTCTTCATATATGACACATGCATAAGACTGATTTCCACAAGCCATCTGAGAAAGCAGATCTCCATTCATGTACACAGCAAGCATATACCTGAGATTAATACTCTCCCTCTCAGGATGTGATCTTAGGAAAGTCACTGACCCTCTCTGAGCATCATTTGTTGAAGTGTTATTATCCTCCCTGATAAACAGGGAGGATGACAGGATTGGATCACACGGCATACGTAACTGTGCTTTATTTAAACAGTAACATATTATACCAATCCAAGAACAGCATGACACTATCCGTTAGTGCAGCATATGATTTATAAGAAAGGATCTTTTTGTCTTTGTGTGCCTACATGCATGTGTCATCACCAACTGACCTATTTTGGTGATTTTTGAAGAATCATAAACTACACTCCAGATATGGCACGAGCAGATGTGGATGAGGCTATCCAGAATGGCCTAGAAGTGTGGAGCAGAGTTACTCCATTAACATTCACCAAGACTTCCAAGGGGATTGCAGACATCATGATTGCCTTTAGGACCCGAGGTAAGGTTTCCAGCAGAGAAAAAAGTATGGCTATTTCCATCTCAGGAGATTTGGAGAGGCTGACATTTTCTTCCCCCCTGTGAACTGTATCTCAGTCCATGGCCGGTGTCCTCGTTATTTTGATGGCCCCTTGGGAGTCCTCGGCCATGCCTTTCCTCCCGGTCTGGGTCTGGGTGGAGACACTCACTTCGATGAGGATGAAAATTGGACCAAGGATGGAGCAGGTGAGCCCAATTTTCTTCATGAATCAAATTTTATTATTCTAAAGAATCCCTGAAATAGCTTTGCAATTAGTTGCTTTTTTGCTTCCCAATTTCCCCACAGTTTCCATATTCCAAGATGACACTGATTGAAGTGTTCAATATCTATTAGATAATTGTGCTTGTATAGGTCAGAGCCTTATCCACACAATGCTCTCATACAGATGCTAATCCTTTCATGATCTGAGCATTCTTCGTGTACTCGCACACTTGTTCATATACCCACAATGCCTGAAGGTCCACTGTGGGCCTGGAACTGTGCAAGGCATTGAACAGACCACAGAGTTGTACTGGACAAGTTCCAACCCTTCAGAGGTTCATGATCTTGTGTGGTGTGAGGCCCAGACCACACACCACCCCACAAGGCAGAGTGTGCTATGTGTTGTACCAATGGTAGAAGTCATCTCTAGCTTCAGAGTTGAGGAAGACTCTAGGGAGGTAGTAATTCTGAGTTAGTGATTAAAGGATGGTATTGTGGGCCCATGGCCCCTAGAAGGTCAATCTGAAGGCATGAACTTCCTCTTCTAACACTTACCCATCTGCCAAGGAATTAGACCCTAATCTTCGTTCAACCTATTCCTTCAGACCAACTGAGTTGATTTTATTTCCTTTAATATGCCTGCCTGGTACTAAAACAGGAAAATTTTTATTACTTTTCAAACAAAAATCAAAACTTTACCACAGTAAAAATATGTGCATCGAACAAAGGAGCAGGCTCAGTAGACTTTAGGGTTCTCCCCACTCCATTTACTGTCATTGACAACAGTCACCTTGGGTCTGGTATCTGGTTTCCTGGGTCCCAGGAAAGCAGCTATGATTCTCCTGATGTGTGGTATATAAGATCACACAGTGCAGTCCTCACCAAGTAACTCCAGAGAGTCCGTGGGTCAGTTTCATAGTTTCTGCAAATCAGCACATGATAGATACTCTACAATTTTGGTAAATGAAGTCAATCAGAAATCCTTTACTCAACATCCACCATGACCCAGGCTCCGTGATATAGAGTACACGATAGTGTGCGAGACACAGACCCTGCCCTTGAGGGGTTTACAGTCTAGGGGACACACTCAAATGGCAATTAAAATCAGTATGACCAACACTGGGATAAAGGAAACTATAGCAATGTAGTAGGAGCGCGTAAAAAAAAATTGAACCCAAACACAGAGGTCAGGGGAGGAAGTGATACCAAACCTGAGTTGAAGGCTAAGCAGGAACTCAGAAAGCAAAGTGGAGTAGGGAGTGCTCCGGAAAGAATAACCCAACCGACTCAAGTACCAGGGTTGTGGCAGAAATGGTGAATAGGATCCAGACCATGTAGGGTCTGAAAAGCTAGCATAAAGCTTTGGAAGTCATTGAGATGACCTGAGTTTGAATTCTTTCAGAGTCCCTGTCCCATCTTGCCAAAAGCACACCCAGCGATACTGACAGCCAGACAATGGGCACCAGCAAAGGCCAGAGCAGAAAAGCCTAAAGGACCATTAAATAATCCTTGGTCATTCCATGTTTATTTTGTGCAAACATCATTGGACAAGGCTCCATCATAGAAGGCTCAGCCTTTTCTTTAGGATCCATAGGCTGAGTTGCAAATCCATGGACAGTCTTATATTTAGAACCTAACAGACTAGTGGGAGAGAGAGAGAGAGGTAAAAAGGCAGTTTCACCATGCGTGGTGAGACTTCCAATATGGTGTATAGGAGGCACATCTAACCATTCTTCCATCCAAATAAACACCTGGATATCCAGCAACAATTATTAAGCATCCACTACTGATAGGCAGTTCAAGAGTCACCAGGAATAAAAGGTGGCTAAGACACAGTCCCTGAAAAGATGCATCACTTCATGAAAGAAATAGTCAGTGCATTCCCTTACGTGCTGTGACAGAATTAAACACTGAGTCTCTGGAAATGCAGAAAGGTGCATTTAACTCAGCCAGGATAGGAGGGGGCAAGTAAGAGAAGCCTCATGAAGGAGATGATTCTAGAGAGGTTTCCTGAGCAACAAGTAGAAGAACTAGGCAAACAGGGGTGGGAGAGATAATATTCTGGGTAGACGGCATGGAGGTAGTAAGACATAGAGATTAGAAGGAACATGGCACAGATGAGAGATGCAAATGATTGAGTGTGGTTAGCTCGTGAAATATGAGAACAAAATATGAGTCAGGAAAAAAGGCAGGGACTAGATCATGGAGGGCCATGGTAAGGTGTTTGGACTTGATCCTACAGCCAATGGAGAACCTCTGAAGGATACAAGTAGGAGAAATGTGATCACATCCAGTACAGCCCAGCAACAACCAAAAACTGGTGGCTTCTATTTTTTTTAGTAATATCTATTTCTCACACACCTGTTTCCTGCCATTTGCTTGCTCTGGATCATAGTTCTCCATGATATGACTAATACCAATTACTAGTGTTGAAATATTTCCCAGATAAATGATGGAGCATATAAGAATTATCCACTCTATGGCAAGCTTTTCCTTCTCTCCCCTTAGTTACTTCCTAATCTCAGATGCAACCATTCTTCTTTTGATTGACCCACATACCCATGTTTTTCCTGTTTTTGTTAAGGATTCAACCTATTTCTTGTGGCTGCTCATGAATTTGGTCATGCACTGGGACTCTCTCACTCCAATGATCAGACAGCTTTGATGTTTCCAAATTATGTCTCTCTGGATCCTAACAAATACCCACTTTCTCAGGATGATATCAGTGGAATCCAATCCATCTATGGTGAGCAACCTCATAAATCTGAATATACGTGAACTAAATAGGAAACTTTCCAGAAAGGAAGTGAAAAAATCACTTCTTGAAATATCACCATGAAGAAAATATCCCCTTGGGTAAGATCCTTCTGTAAGTATTTCCACATGCCTTCTTAATTCACGGTGCTATTTCTTTTCTCATCAAAGGAAGTCTACCTAAGACATCTGCTAAGCCAAAGGAGGCCATGGTACCCCATGCCTGTGACCCTGATTTGACTTTTGACGCTATCACCACCTTCCGCCGAGAAGTAATGTTCTTTAAAGGCAGGTAAACCCATTCCCTTAAACACCTCAACTTCCTATGAATATTTTTCCTTTCAAGAGATTTGGGGGTAAATAGGGAGGAAATCGCAGGGATGGTGAGAACGTGTTCCTTTTCCTTTTCATTTTATAACCGCCCATACTCTTTGAATGTTTTACTATGTGTATATATCTCTTGCTTGTTTGATAAATTAATTTTTAAAATGTTCTTAAGCAAATTTTTTAATTGCCATTGTATAAGAAGGTGAAGTAGAGTCATTTTCAGTGACTTCTTAGCTAAAATAATACACCAATCCCAGTGGTGCTGGAGCTGACCTACACCATTTCAGGAGCCAATGGCTAAATTTTGGGGAATTTTGTAAACCACTTCACATCACTTCTATAGCTTGGAACTGGCCATGGTTGGAGTATTCACACTCTGGAAATCAGCAAATGATAAAAATTAGGTCTTTTTTCTACTGAAAGTGCCAGCTGATAAACATGAATGACCATGATTCCTTCATGTTGCATCAGTGAAGTGTTCACTGTAGTAAGAACTCTCTTCTCTCCCCGTGTATAACTTACTGGACTTCAGTTGCAACATAGCCTGTCACTTGTGTTTACCACGACTATATTTTCAGAACAAAGGATTGAGACATAGACCATCTCACAAGCACTGGGGCACAAGGAAAGAATATTTGAAATCAGTCTCCTTCCACCCACAGCTATACAGCCCTCGGATGACATGCTACCACCACCATGCTCTGCACCACAGAGGCTGAGGCCACTTGTCAGGGACATCAGAGAGGGGCGGCCCAGTGCAGGAAGGGCTTTTCAAGTCTCATTCAGGGACTCAGAACTTTACAGCCAGAAGGGAACATCTCAGGAAATATTTTACCATGCAATGATAATACTTCTTTATTCTAGCAAACATCAGACCAAAAAGTTTTTCTTAGATGCTTGGTGTTGCCTTAGAATTCTGAGTATTGCTGATTTGGCAAAAAGGAGGCCATTGAGCACTCAGACTTGAGATTTCTGTGGGTAGGTTGCTACTCTAAGTTCCCAGGAGAGTGGGCACAAATCGTGTCCTTTACAGTCACAGGGTAGAAGTGAGCTCACAACCACCTACATTGGCTGAGGAAAATCGTGTGAATGCTCTAAATTATTTGAGGAGAACGCTAATCAATTAAATAAAAGACAGGCCTAGGTTTACAGTGTTTCCACTGCAATATAGGCTGTTTGTGGAAGTGTTTTTTGTTCATCACAGGCACGTATGGAGGATCTACTATGATATCACTAATGTGGAATTTGAACTGATCTCTTCATTCTGGCCGTCCCTGCCAGGTGATGTTCAAGCCGCATATGAGAGCCCCAAAGATAAGATCCTAGTGTTTAAAGGTAACTTTGCCCATCACGATTTCTCTTCTGTCTCTGGAAGCCTGAACTGGTTGGTGGGTATTTTGGGGTAAGAAACAAAATATTCACACGTGGGCCAGATGGAGAGCGCTTCTGCCATGACCATGGGTTCCTTCAAAAAGAAAAACTATCCAGGGGTTCTCTGTGGCTGTGAAGACAAACATCATCCCAACTACACAGGAGCTAAAAGAAACCTGTATGGTAAAAAACTAAAAAACTATCTTTTTTCTGCCAAATAAAGGGAACCCATCCCTCTTTTATATTCCCATTTTACTACGGTTGTCAGATTTAGCAAATAAAAATACAAGATGCCTTGAATTTCAGATAAGACACATAATTTTTTATTATAACTATGTCCCTTGCAATATTTGAATATACTTATACTAAAAATTAGTCATTGTTTATTTGAAATTCAAATTTAACCGGAATCTTATATTTGTTATCAATGCTATTTTTATATGGATTTCATCAGATTACTTGCATTTGAGAATACTTGGGGGCTGAAATCTAGGAGAACATGTCCAAACATAGTTGACTCTTTCGTCAGAGTTAGAGAAATAATCCAGTGAAACCAAATGACATGCATACCAGTGAGCATGCTCACTGTTAACTATCGGGGTGTGTTATTCGTGTAATCGTAATGATAAAAGCAGCCAAAGAAGGCAGTAAGAACAAATGGGGACATGAGGCAACTAAATCCTGAGAGACGAGGCATCTAATTATTTTCAAATTTCTTAAGACATCTATTTTTCCCTCTGGGTATTAGATCGGAAGGTAATCACTTTCTGTCTTCCTAGATGACAACTTCTGGATGATCAGAGGATATGCTGTCTTGCCAGATTATCCTAAACCCATCCATACACTTGGCTTTCCAAGACATGTGATGAAAATTGATGCAGCCCTCTGTGACCACAGTGACAGAAAAACCTACTTCTTTGTGGGCATTTGGTGCTGGAGGTAAGTTTGCAGACAATCAACCTCTTCATTTTATTCTGCAGAAAATATCCACATAGCATCACTTTAACACGGGCAGAAATAAAACTAACCTATAGTCCTCTTAAAGCCAATTATGTTGAAGCCCATCTTGGGTAGATGACACCCACCAAACAAAAGAATGTTTCAATGAGTCCAAAGATCTTTCTCCAACATTAAAAAAAAATAAAGATAATTTTGATGGATTCCTGTCTTGTGGTCCATATATACAATGGAATATTACTCAGCCATCAGAAAGGATGAATACCCAACTTTTACATCAACATGGATGGGACTGGAGGAGATGATGCTAAGTGAAATCAGTCAAGCAGAGAAAGTCAATTATCATATGGTTTCACTTATTTGTGGAACAAGGAATAGCATGGAGGACATTAGGAGAAGGAAGGGAAAAATGAAGGGGGGGGAATCGGAGGGGGAGACGAACCATGAGAGATGATGGACTCTGAGAAACAAACTGAGGGTTCTAGAGGGGAGGGGGGATGGGGGATGGGTTAGCCCGGTGATGGGTATTAAAGAGGGCACGTTCTGCATGGTGCACTGGGTGTTATACGCAAACAATGAATCATGGAACACTACATCAAAAACTAATGATGTAATGTATGGTGACTAACATAACATAATAAAATAAAATTTAAAAAATAGAATAAAGATAAGATAAAATAATAAAGCTGGTGATGCCAACCAAATTGCCAATAACACAAATGTATCTGGTCAAAATCTGTGAAAGCTCCAAGCTGAGCCCTTACTTTTCTTTTCTTTTTTTTTTTTAATTGCAATGTACTTATTATACAGTGCAATATTAGTTTCTGGTGTACAATATAGTGATTCAACACTTCCATACAACATCCTGTGCTGATCACAACAGGTGCACACCTTCATCCCCATCATCTGTTTCCCCCATTCCCCTACCCACCTCCCCTCTGGTCACCACCAGTGTGTTCTCTGTAGTTCAGAGTCTGTTTCATGAGCCCGTACTCTGATTTAATAGTCCCTCAGAATGGCATCAGTCTGATTAATGATGTGGCTTTTCCCCCCTCATCATTTCTTGTTTTCGAGACACTACAAATGATTCAACCAAACATAATCTTTGACATGTTTTTCATTATTGATCGAATTACTTTTCCTGTATAAGGGCTACTTTTTCTCCACATCCCTATTTGACCCCAAGTGGGGCAGTGGAAGGATTAAGCTCCCCGAAACAAGGATCCCCTGGAAACTTTTCCAACCCCTGCATGCAGGTATGATGAAGTGACCCAAAGCATGGACAAAGGGTACCCACGGAGAGTGGTGAAGTTCTTCCCAGGAATTGGTCTCCGAGTCGATGCTGCTTTCCAGCATAAAGGTGAGCATCAGTACCTAACCCTGTAGGATACTTGGAAGACCTCACTGGCTGAGAGAGAAGATAGTACAGAAATGTAACTGCTTCCATTTTTTTTTTTAAGGTTTGCACTATTTATTTATTTATTATGTTCAATTAGCCAACACATGCTAAATACATCATTAGTTTTTGATATAGTGTTCAACGATTCATTAGTTGAGTAAAAGTTTTAATGTAATTTTGCTCTTCTCGAGTACCCATAATAATAAACTCTAACCAGGCAGGCATTCTCACCAACCGAATTAGTGAGTCCTGAATCATAGGTTCTGTTATACTATTTCAAATCCCTGCAAAAAGTACCAAAATTAGTTTTACTTATCATTGATCCAAGAGAGCCCTGGAAAGTCATCCCCCTGAAGAGTTTTAAGTGTGAAAAATGATAAGCACATGAACTGGACAGTGACTCTCAAGCTATTATGTGCATGGTTTAATATGTGCACTTGGGGGTTATGTGAGAAATGACAAATTCTTCAGAGTTCCTGACGCAGATGTAGGACTGTGGGTCAGAAGCAGAAATCTACAGCTTTAGAAGCACCTCAGGCAACGTAAGGTCCAGTCTAGCTACTCTATCTTCAGACTTAGACCACGGAAAACAACCTAGCACATGGAGTAAACAGGAGTCTAAAAAGTTTTCTGAATGACACCATCTTTTACTGCAGTGAAATCTCACACAAAACCTTAACACCTAAAACAGATAGAGCAGAACAACCCAACGAAGATGAGGATATAGGGTACGAGGCCCATACCCACAGGGGCCTTCTTCTCCCTCGGCCAAGACTTTGTTCTGAAACCTAGTAGAAGTACCTCTGGTGTGAACCACAGTCTGGCTAGAAAGGTGGTGATCCCCTTGACATTCATGTTCAGACCTTGGCTTCTTCCTTGGGGAAATAAAAATAACAATATTTCTCATGTGACACTAGTAAAGTAAAATATATCTGGATAATACACAAGTTTCTTTTCTTTCCAAAATGTTCAATTATTTTATTCCATATGCATACAGGTAACAAGTGTGGAACCATCATAGAGTTGTGCAAGATAACTAATGATGATTCTCTCTCTCTAGGATTCTTCTATTTCTTCCGTGGATCAAAGCAATTTGAATATGACCCCAAGGCAAAGAACACCACCAGAATAATGAAAATCAATACGTGGTTTCGGTGTGAAGAACCATTAAACACATTATCTGATTTTAGTATCAGTGAGGAAGGAGTCCATTCAGGAGGAGCAGAGATGTTTTATCATAAGAATTTAAACTTGCTTATTTTTAGTATTGTTCATGTGCTGAAAAAAATCTATAGTTATCAATAAATTCATGGACCAAAAATAAACCTCCAGAGGTCTTTTAATCTGAATTCTGCTTCAAAGTGGAATAGAACTATTCTTTCACATAAGTTGCCTGCCCTCGTTCTAGATATCTATTCGACAAAGATTCCATGGATGTTTTCAGCTGCCTGATTCTTTTTACAGGAAGTTATCATGCATAAGCAAAACTCTCGCTGTACTTTAATCCTATTTTATGCTTTGTGAACTTGAAAAAGCAAGCCATGTATCTTATAATAACTAAACACTGCAGACATTTATTAAACCAATCTTTAGCAACCTATTTTGTCTGGACCTTTGCAGTTGGAGGCCCAATAAACTGCAAGCCTCATCCCTACCCATATTCTGAAACCACCGAGAAATGATGCTCAGTTGGGAGAGAAAATGCCACCATTTTACTGATAAAACTTATATTAGTAAATGTACCTGTGGGCAAGCTAGTTTCCTAATATCAAATTCTAGAAGAAGACGTACTTACACACAAGTCCTGGGGAGAACTGGAAAGAACCAAGTCTCCCCAAGAATGTGAGTCTTCTGTAGGTTGCATGGAGCCCAAAGAGAAAGAAAGAGGATGGAGTTACATGTGCCAGGTTTCTGTTCCCAAACTCACCAAATCAGACAAGTTATTCCCCCTGCCAAACAGGAGCGAGAGCCTCAAGGGATACAAGACGTATTACACGACAGGTGCTCCCCCAGCAATTAGGAAACCAGTAGGAGAAGGAAAATGTGTTCCCTCTAACCTCCCAAGCACAGGCTAATGCATTTAACCATTCCTTAAGGAATTTAAAATCAGATTTTATATACACTGATCTCAAGAAACGTTGACTTTTCCTCCCTGTGTTTGAAATATTGGGTTTCACCTGAGCCAAAACCCATAAATGGAAAGTTCCTGTCCTCTTTGCTACACCATGTATTTGTTGAGTTTCTAAATTCCTAATGGTTAAATTTTACCTTTCCACCCTCAAAACAAAAGGCTGGCTAAGCTCTTCATGAATTTTTTTCTTTTTTTTTTTTAAAAGATTTTATTTATTTATTTGACAGAGAGAGAGAGACAGCGAGAGCAGGAACACAAGCAGGGGGAGTGGCAGAGGGAGAAGCAGGCTTCCCGCGGAGCAGGGAGCCCAACGCGGGGCTCGATCCCAGGACCCCGGGACCATGACCTGAGCTGAAGGCAGACGCTGAACCAACTGAGCCACCCAGGCGCCCTCTTCATGAATTTTCTGACCCAGAAAATGGAAGGTTGTCAGTTGAACTTGATTCTGATGAGGTGATAGATTGAGCAAGTGTCACCTAATAGAAAATATGCATAGAAAATCTCAGAAATTCCTATAATCACATTCCCTACCTTGAGTTCATTGTTCCCAGATTTCTATTAGAAAGGGACATAGAGAAGAGTTATTGCATGTTTGGAATAGAAAGTAAATTTTAAAGAGTACAGCTTAATACCTAACATAGAGTAGATGTGCTAGTCTTTGTAAAACAAATAGTGTTGGAATAATCAAATATCCATATGTACACACAGAAAGAACCTCGATTCCTACCTCACATGGTTCATAAAAATTAACTCAAAATGAGTCATAGACCTCTAGTAGAAGAATCAAAAATATAAAACTTCTAAAAGAAAATATTTAAAAAATTTTTGTGGCTTTAAACAGATTTTGAGATAGGACATAAAAACCATGAACCATAAAAGAAAACACTGATGAATTAAATTTCATCAATACTGAAAACATTTGCTCTTCCAAAAAACATTAAAACAATGAAAAGTCAAGCCACACATTAGGAGAAAATATTTTCAAAACATGTTTCTGATAAAGGACTTGTACCCTGAATATAGAAAGAATTCTTCTAACCCAAAAAGAAGACAAACAACTCCATTTTCTTAAATGGCCAGAATATTTGCTGAGTGGCAAATAAACACATAAAGAGATGTTTAACATCTTAATCATTTAGGAAATGCTAATTCAAACCACAACGAGATACCACTCATACCCAACAGTATGGTTGAAATGAAAAAGACTGAAAATACCAAGTGCTGAGAAGAGGTTGAGTAACCGGAACTCTCTTGGAGTGAGAATAAAAAGTTAAACAGCCACTTTGGAAAACAGTTGGGCTACTCCTTATAAAGTTAAACATTCACTTGCCATGTGACCTATGACCCCACTCCTAAATATTTACCAAGAAAAATGAAAACACGCTCATGCAAATGGTTCTACATGAACGTTAATGATCGCTTTCTTTGTGACAGCTGAAACTGGAAACAACCCGAATGTCTATCAATCGGTAAACAGATAAACTGTGGTCCATCCATCCAGATGGCGGAAAACCACACGTGCAACAATATGGAGGAATCTTGAAAGCCTTTGGTAAGTGAAAGAAGCCAGACACAGAAGACTCACTATCACATGATTCCCTTTATATCTAAAAATTAGAAAAGGCAAAAGTAAAATGATAGAAAACAGATCGCTGCTTGCCGGGGTGGGGAATAGGGAAGAGACTGAACACAAAGGAACGTGAAGATGGAGATGTTCTGTGTCACAATTATGGCGTTGGCAACACTAATGAGTATATTTTTTAAGACTGCATAAAGTTAGTGAATTGTACTATATGTTAATTCTACTTCATATCACTGATTAACAAGAGCAGTGAGGCATAGCGCTGATTCTCAAAGGTTGGTCAAGCTTCTTTTGTTTCCTCTCGTCTACTCTCAGTTCTGTGGCATAAATGTCTGTGATATTATAATTTGGGGGGGCATCTGAAATTGCACTCAGATTTGCTTATGGGCAGTTACTTTCTCCTTGATTTTCAAGAAAAATATTGATCCATAGGAGAGGACAAGATTCAATTATAAAAAAATCTTATTTTAAACCCAGTGGGGTATCTAAAAGCACGGTTTTCTGGGGAATACAGGTTGACGATTAGAGCTATAGTAAACACTTATAAGAATAACCCAGAGGTCAGATGATATCACTCAGCCTTTGAAATTTAAACTTGACTTCCAAAACCCTATGGGGATTGTAAGACCCTCCACCAAGTGACTGTCCCTTCGCCAGGCCACCTCCCAGCCACGTCTCCTGGGCCTCCAGGCCCTGCTTCTCTGTCTGACCCCCTCCCTGCTTTGCCTTCTATGAGGAACCCACGTTCCTATTAATTTTTTGTTTAGAATGTATAGCAGTGAAACTCCCTTTGTTTTATTGTCTTTTCAAGGTGCTATCAAGGCCTCTGCTTTCTTGGAAAAGCAGCTTCAGAAGATAGGTTTTTCTCCTAGAGAAGAGCACCAGAATACATGTTCACCTTCCTTCCTGAAAGAAGCGTTTCAGTTTCCCTTGGCTAGCCTGGAGGCTGGGCGGGACCATGGGCTCTGGCGCCAAACCGCTCCAGTCTGTGTCGCTCCTAGTCCACCTGGTAGCTGCGGGACTTTGGGCAAGTTCCTGAGCTCTGGGTGCATCAGTGCCTCCATCTGTGAAAAAGCATAGTAAGAGATCCAGGCTCAGAGGGTTGTTCAGAGTGGGACTAACGGGTCACCTTAGGATTTCAGGCAGAGCACGTGCCATCATTATTCAATTAGGGGAACTTAATAACGTACCCCAAAATACAAACGATTGGAAAAACGAGAAGCCGATCTCAGAGTTTCCCGAAATTGGAATAAACTAGGAAGCAATTCTTTCCCAGCTGTGCCATCCACTTACTGGGAACAAATTAACTGGAACGACAGAGCTTGTTTCAATTTGCTGCATGCGCTAGTTTTCTCCAGGGTCTGTGAGCAGGTCTGGAAACAAAGAAAGAGCTTCAAGAGCAAGCTTGACCAGGACCGCGTCGACAACCGTTATGCTTGTCGGAGATCTGAGCCACAGACAGGGAACAGAAACGAATTCACACAGAGAGAAGGTATTGCACTTTCCTCTTGCCTGGAGACAGAGGGAACGTGCCATGACCTTCCTGCTGGTCGGGTCCACTCTCCTTCCGCGTTCGCCTGAATGAATCACTTGTTCCCCAGGGAAACAGAAGAATGTTTTTCTTTCGGTCTTGAAGATATTTTAAACACATGACATATCTTCAGGCTGAAATTCAGTCCCTTGTTTGTCTTCAGGTATAAAGAATCTTAAAAAGGAAGTTCAGTAGCTAAAAAATATCTTTAACTTCCTTAAACTGGTCACAGAATCCTAAACCTTAAGTCTATATTCACTCACTACCCAGATACTGCTATCTACCTGAAGTTTCCACAGGAAAATAAAAATCCAGCTTTCCCTAATAGGAGTCACTTAAAATGTGATTTCTAGAAGAGATCAGGAAAGTATCAACAGAATAGTCCACACTGGATTTCCCTTAAAGGGAAAAATTTCCAGAACAGAGAAATGTTTCTGTCTGACCACTCTTCATAGTTTCATGCAGCTTTTACTGCTTAAGTGACCATAAAGCCATATTTGGTTTTAATCTTGAGATTTAATAAATATTTTTTCTATTTATTTCTGAACTATGGTGTTCAATTTATTAGTAAAAAATAGTACAAGATTTATTTTGAAGCTTATTTATTTTTTGACAAATTGAGTTCAGAGTTTCAGGTTTCTTGAGCTATTTTTAAAACTTAGAAAGCAAAAAGAACCCAACAGGGAGGACTCTAAGTGGACAAATCCATGAGGATGAAACGGAAGGCACAGGAGTCTAAAACGCTCTGGAAATAGGACGCTAGGGGTTTGAAAGAGTCACATATGAAAATGCATCATACGTTACAAGGTTCTTATGATGAATGTGATCTTCTCAGGAGGCTTGTGTTAGTGAATGTGTTGATTTCAACTAAGACGCACCCTGTTATTTTTCACATAACACTTAGCTGGTCATATGACCGTGACTCGGTCTCATTTCTTCAATATGTAGGTCTTCAGTACCTGCCGTAAGTCAGACACATGGTCTGTTGAGGTGGATGCTTCCATTCAACAAACATTTACTGGGGGCCTACTGGTGCCATGCACTGTTTCGGGAGCCAAGGATATCGCCCTGAACAAAACAGCAGAGCCCCTGCCTTCATGGGCCCCATATTCCGGCCAAGGTAGAGAAACCACAAATAAACAAAAAGTTGTAAATATGTCAAGCTTGATTGATGCTCTGAGACACACTAGAGCAGTGTGTCTGGGCGGGAGCAGGGTGCTGCCCCTTGCAGGCAGAGCCCGTGTCAGGGCCCCATTGTCCAGGGGCAGGAGCTGAGGAGGAGGACGGTCTCCCCTCCCTCCCGGGGCAGCATCTCTCGTGCTGGCTGTCTCTTCAGGGCTCTAGCTTCGGCTCCGGCCAGGTGATGGATCCGGTCATATGGTCCCTCTCTAACTTCTAGGTTCTTCACTGTCCCCGCAGGCTTCTGGGCCTCTTCCATTGCTCTTAGAATTAATTTGCAGCATTCAATCCCCCGTTTCCAATACTCGGTGATTTGTTTCCCCATTGACGCATGACGAATACTTTGAGTAAGGTGCAACACACGTGGGGTGTTTGGGGATGAAGTACCGAGAGCTCTTAGTGAAGACTCAAGTCCTAAAATCTGAAGGAGCTGAGCAAGCAAACAAACCATGTCTCGGGGAAAAGAGCACCCCAGGAGAAACAGTTCTGTGCAAAGGCCCTGAGGCTGAGTTGAAGAGCAGTGAAGAGGCTCCTGTGACTGAGGTAGGAGGAGATTGAGGGCGAGGAGATGAACCTGGAGGAGCCACGGGCAGACGACCATATGGGGCTCACAGGCCATTATATCGACTTGAGACTCTAGAGAGACTTGAGAAGAGAAGCAACAGGATGGTTGCCTGCCTTCCATTTTAGAAGAACCCCTCTGGCTGCTCTGAGCCAGCCAGCTACAGGCCCAGGAAGTTCCTAGCACAGTCGACGACGGTGTGACCGGGAGAAACAGAGCAAGGGTGTGCTCTGAAGGGGGCACGACGGGGTGGGCTCATCGACTGGACGGACGCAGTGTGATGTCTCGCCTGGGGGCAAGGGCAACCCAGCCTTTTTCCTGGACAGTTGGAAGAACAGAGCGTATGCTCACTGGGGCACTCGGGCCAGGGGAGGAACAGCTCTGAGCAGAAAATCAAGATGTCCAGCAGCAGTCGGATACACAGGTCTGAAGTTCAGAGGCGAGCCAGAGCGTGGGGCGTAAATCCCATCGCCATGTGGAGACCCGGGATTGGGTCAGGTCACCCGGGCAGTGACCCGGAGAGAGGCAAGCAGAAGCTGAAAACTGATCCCTCGTCATTAGCAGATTGAAGACGGACGGTGTTGTACGTTTCGGCCCCACACCAACTGCACTCAGGCACGTGGGCACACAGTCCTGCCGGTGTCGGCCCCTGGGCGCTGTGCCCTGAGCCCCCTACCTCACCCCGCACGGTTCACCACGGCTCCCAGCCCATCGGCCCACCCTCCCCGTCGGAAGCGGGCACGCCTTGTAGAGCAGGGACGGAGAGACAGGCAGCACGAGCCCCCAGCGGCCCAGATCGAAGCAAAGTGGGACTCTCAAAAGTACGCGAAGTCAGCTATATCAAGTGTTCATCGCAGTTTTGTTTAGCAAACATATGAAAAGATAAATACATTTGTCATTAATGTAGAAAACTTTACCAAGTGAGAAAACTTCCATCATTTGCCGTCTTGAGGAGAACTCTTGTCCGTGATGCAGGAGAACTCTACCTCGCCTCCTTGCTAAATGGTCTGCAAGCCGAATTCTGGCCTTCAGCGCCACTGAGACTTCATTTTATTAAGTATTACACTTTACACAAAGTATTGACACTTTTTCTATAAGAATGGAACTTAAACAACAAAAAGAATCAATTCAAGAATGTATGATTAGAGGCAGCATTTCTTAAAAAACAAAAAACAGAAAAACCTCACTTCATCATGTTCCATACCAGTCATTGCATTCAAATTAGAAAAACAGCCCTCTTTCAGACCTACCTGCCAATGGCAAGAACCGCCCGTTATCAGAACCAAGCTCCTGCCCGGTTGGGTCTCCATTGTTAACACAAAATGCTGTTATTTTTAAGTCCTTAACTTCATTGATATTTATCTCAAGCCAGTTCTTTTTTTTTTTTTTAAGATTTTATTTATTTATTGGAGAGAGAGAGAGCATGAACGGGGTGGGGGGCAAAGGGGAAAGGGGAGAGATTCTGAAGCAGACTCCGCACTGAGTGTGGAGCCCTACAGGGGTCTTGATCCCACGACCCTGGGATCACAACCTGAGCAGAAACCAAGAGTCAGATGCTTAACCCACTGGGCCACCCAGGCGCCCCTGAAGCCCGGTGTGTAAGGACTTTTTAAATGATCACAATAGTGACCATTCATTAAACACAATAAGCTATGTGCCCTACGGGATCTCATTTATCCTGAAGTGGATATTGTTGTGTTTCACAGATGAAGAAATGAGGCTCTGAGGCCTTCGCTTTCTCGCCAGGGTCATGTGACAAGCGTTAGGCACCCCCACACCCTGGCTCATGTACCCACGTCTTCTCGCAGAGCACGAGCCTGAACAAGCACCCCATCCACGCCAACCCGAGTGCCTGTAAGAACCTGGCTCTCTGACCCACCCCAGACTTGCAGCAGCCTGCAGGCTCGACTGCAACGGGCTTCCTGGCTCTTCCGCAACACGTTTCACCAAAGTCGGATTTCACGATTCCTGTGGTTTCTTTTCTCAACGTGTGTAAAGGAAAAAGGAGTGCAGTACATTCCCCATTAAGCAATCGGATGGCACAGCAAGCGACACGTGATGGGACCCGGGGTGGCCTGTCCACGGAGACACGCCCTCGAAGCGCAGTTGTCAGAGACAGTGGGGACCCCGTCTGCGTCTCAGCTGTCGGCCTGGGACCCTCTTTATTTCACAGTAATCAAAATAGCTACAAATATTGGCCTGCAGGCTATTTGCTTAGAACTCCGTAAAGACTGACAACCGTGACCGTTAGAAGTTAGTATTTCACTAACCACGTCCCCATCTGTGTGATCTTATTCGGTTCTCAAGGTAAGGCTAAGAGGTAAGGAGAAAATGCTGGTGAGGAGAAATCCATTTTACAAAGAGGAAGGAGGAGCTGCTTTAAAGGAGGAATTCGTGTTCAGACCTGCCTGGCAGTGTTCTTACTAGACCTGGCTGGGGGAAGCCCAGGGGGACGCCCACCACCCCGCCCCCCGCGTCCGGCTTCTCGGGGCCGTCGCTCACACTACCAGCAGCTTGGTCTGAGCTCCCAGGTTCATTCCCTGGAGCGAACCCGAAGGTATCATTTGCTGACACGGTGCCACTCAGAACACCTGGCCTGAACTCCTGGGCCCTCTGCCACCGCTGAACTCTGAAACCTATCCCTCTCTGCAGAAGGGCAGGCTGTAAGCCTGCCGAGGAAAATCACCCACACCCTGGGACCAGCTTTTCTCCTGGAGAACATAACATGCATCTCACAATTTCTTTCTTAGAGCAGCAATCCCCAGCCTGAGCTGCAGGCCCTCATCGGTTGGACGGCTGAAGCAGAATGCCACGGACGGGTGGCTTCAGCCACAGATGTTTATTTCTCGCAGTCCTGGAGGCTGGACCCTCAGGGGGCCAGCACGGCGGCCTTCTGATGAGAGTTCTCTTCCTGGTGATGCCGTCACGGGGCTTTCCTTGGCCTGTGTCCAGAGAGAGAGAGATCTCCCCACTCCACTGTCTTTTTAGAAGGGCACCAATCCCATCATCAGGGCCCTGTCCTCATGATCAGTCTAAACCAACTACCTCCCCAAGGCCGTACCTCCAAAGACTGTCACACTGCAGATTAGGATGTCAACATACAAATTTGGCAGGGGGAGTGGGACACAAACATTCAGTCCATAGCACAATCAGAATTGCTCTGGGAGCTTTTAAAATTACCCATAATTAGGCTCCTTTCTGCTGGACTAATTAAGTCAGAGTCTCAGGAGGGTTGGGCCTGAGACCCCGCATTTCCAGCAAGCTCCCAGATGATGCTGGCCCAGCCTGTCTCTGAGCACCATTGACTTCCTGACACAGGGGTTCTCGAGGGCTAGGGTGGATTGGAATTGCCTAGAGGGCCTATTAGGTAATAATACAGAGTGTGGGTCCCACCCTGAGGCTTTGTGACGCAGCCTGTCTTGGATGGGGCCTTTCTAACTAGTTCCCAGGTGATGTTGATGCAGCTGGTCTGGAGACCCCCCCTCTGGAAGCCCGTGTGCACTGCCCACCCCCACTGCCCCCGGCCTCCCTCCCGCCTCTGTTGTCCTGCTAACGCCACTGGGGCGGGTCAAGATCTTACAGCACAGAAAGCAAAGCCCAGGACGACAGGTGGAGGCCAGGTTGGAGGGCTGACAAGGCTGAGTCCACCTGCTCACGTCCCCAGTGAGCTCTCTCGGGGCTGCGTGTTGCAGGCCCTGCCCCGGACGCGGGAAGGCTTCTTATCGCCCCTAAACCGCTGCACAGACGGCCCCACTTTCCATAATGAGTATAGACGGCCCAGCACACATGGAGCCCCTTCAGCTAAC